CTGAACCTTATATCTGTTTTATGAAACCAAGGAAAGGAATTCTGAATGTTGAAATGTGTAAAAACCGAATAAAAATAATTTTAAAAAAAAGTGATTTAAATTGATTTTTATCAAAAAAATCAAGTTGATTTAAATAAAAAAAATCAACTGATTTAAATCAACCCAACCCTGGTTACATGTAATGTAATTCATTTCTTATTACAGAGAACTTATAATGAGTTTTCCAGTGTCATAGTGGTATAGATCTTTTCCCCTCTCTCTGACTTTTTTGGTTGATTCTGTTTTTGAGTCTTTGCAAATTCAGCTGATGTTTAGTTGAACATCATATATTTTTTTAGAATTATTACTTTAACTTACTTTTTTTTGTACCAATGTACTCAAACTACTTTTATCACTTAAAACTTGTAATGAGAGCTATCCAGTAGCTTTTTTGTGGTTTTTAATGAAATTTTGAAAAGTCCGATGTTATGTTGAACGACGATTATTTTCAGAATTGTTGCCTACCCTTCTGTAACAACCTTTAGTACCCATTGATGCCATACAGTTGCTACTACTTTTTTCAGATAGAGCTTTGAATGAGCTTTCCAGTGGTATATTTGACATCTGTCTAACTTAATTAGTTGATTAAAAAAAAATTTTTTTGATGTCGTATTTTTAGTTGAACACTAATTTTTCAAAGTGTTTCCTATTGTTTTGCAACAGCCTTTAGTACCCAGCCTTGCCATACAGTTACTATTACCTTTTTCAGATAGAGCTTTGAATGAGCTTTCCAGTGGTATATTTGACATCTGTCTTGCACAAATAGTTGATTTTTTATGACTTAAGAATAAAAAGGCCCCAAACTTCAATTTTGTCATTGGTTTCTTCCCCTTTGGCATTTTTGGTCAGCCTACCCCTTAGATACGATTATGCCTCTCTTGTATTTAAGTTTGAACAACCCTTTAAAAAAAATTGGGTAAAGTCTCAGTATGTATATCTTATGAGATTTCCATTTTGATAGCTATCCAACCATAAATGTTTATTTTATGTATCTTGGAAAATGGGGTTCCAAGCCATTGGCATCCATTTTTAAACTTCATTTTCGTGTTTTCTTTCAGTTTTAAACTGCTATAATCACTAAAATAGCTATATGAATTATATTTTAATTTCTTTTACACTAAGTTTGTGTGTTTTTGTCTAAGAATATGTTAAACACTTTTGATTTTCAAGAACAGTTTTCGTAGCGTGACCATGAAACAGCATTGTGAGCATATGTCACGATTTTTACAAGTCCAGCAAATATTTGAAACATCATATCTCAGGTGTCCCCCCGGGGCAGTGCCACTGACTGAAGTGTCTTTAGGCCATTCCCAAAGAGGGAACATTTCTCGTTCAAGCACAGTAGAATTGTAAATGGGCTAATTCATGTCACGCTCATAACTGTGCCTGATCTACAACAGGGAACTGCTGCTTTTTCTTTCCTAATCTTTCCTGTCATTTTCCTCTACTTCTTTTGTATGTTTGTCACTCTCTTGTGACCTGCTATTTCCGGGGTGCCTTGATAGTCGAAGCAGACCTTGTGCTGTTGAAGCTAGAGAGGTGAGCAGAGTAAGTCTGATTCCCTGTAAAGACTTCTCTGTTGACACCCACCCCTTGGCGCTGATATGACCTTATGCAGTTTCGAGCGCCGTAAAACCCTCTACTATTTAAAAAAAAAATAATCTGAGGTGTTTGTTGATTTTGATAATTCTTTTTTTATAGTTCTTGTTTCACTGAGCACTATATGGAAAGTATAGTCTTATGGTATTCTTTTAAAAAAAATTCACTTGTGGTACCTAAATCAAGCATAGCTTGAGAAGAAAAAAGGCTATTAGGGTACATGCAAAGAAATAGTCTACAAATTTTCCTGCTTTTAATTTTCTAGTTCCCGTCAAGAGGCCCCCCTACAAGTCAGTATCAAGCAGCTAGTCAAGCTGTGATTGCTAAAAATAGATATCGGCCTTCAGAAAGAGACCATCAACACGTCTCATCAGGGAGTATTGAAAAAGAGACTTCAGTGGAAAACCTGCATCCTGGATTTTCAGTGTCAGTCACTCAGGTGAGTGATTTTCTCTTTCAATTCATTTTAGTGAAAGTGTCAGGGTATAAGACTTTAGAGACTTTTTGTGTTTAGTGCGGACAAGAAATATTCACAATCTAATGGTAGGTGCTCTGGTGTTGTTTGCTCCTTCTTTCCTATCAACCACATTCGTTCTTGTCTCTTTTTTGTGTATGTTACTCTCTTGTGACAACTCTAAATCTTCAACACTTATATGACCTAATTGTGTCGCAAGTGCCGCAAAACTTACGAAACTGAACACACACACACACACACCCCACCCCCCACCACCACAAAAAAAAAATTTCTAATGAAAAGTTAAGTGTTTTCAGTCTTGTAAGCTGACCTTGCTAGACGTAATGCATTTTTGTAGTAAGTCCTGATTTAAGATATCACCTTGAAGACCAAGGGGCTTGGACAGTTGAATGACGGCTCTCCATTGGATGTTATATGCAGACCTGCCACTCACCCCGATTTAGTTGGGATATCCCGATTTTTTTTTGCTCCAAATCTCGAGCATCCCGATTTTTCCCGATTTCAATTGTGTGTATCCCGATTTTTTGTTTCAGTCTGCTGTTGTGCCGGATCTAAAAAACTTACTCTGCCTTCTTCTCAGTAGCAGGAAGCACACATTGAACTTTTGTCAGTAGGAACTCTGAGTATTATTTTCTGTAATATCGTTGCCAGATTTAGTAGTTGACTGGTTAACATCGCACTGCGTTCCAATGGTCAAGTAGTGGTAGATCTACATGCAACCACGTGTGCTTAGCTAAATGTCAATGAGAGGGGAAAATTTGATATGTTCCAAAATGACGACAATCATTTATCCACAATGATGACTATATGTCATCGTGGTTATGTTTGAAAGATATTTGGTATTTTGCATTAGTCATAGCAAAATGTGAATTAAGTGGCATTTTTCCACCATTAGCATGGATTATGTCCGAGTCAAACTGAATCTCCTGAATCTTTATTTGCCAAAATTTCCGAAAAATGAATTAAAATATGAAAATGGAAAGTTTTTCATTTCTTTCGGACGTAACTATGACACAGAATTTCTTTTTTCTCTGATTTTATATGCTCTTCATGCTTATGTTTGAAAATTAAAGCAATGAGGAAACTATTAAAATGATTTTATGTTCCGTAAATTACGTTTCAGGGTTTTTTTCATTTTGTGTCATCATGGTTATGTTCGGAAGATATTTGATATTTTGCAGAGATTCATAGTAAAATGTGAATAAAGTGGCATTTTTTCATCATTAACATGCATTGTGAGTCAAACTGAATCTTCTGAATCGTTGTTAGCCCAAATTTTCATAAAAAATTAAGATATGGAAATGGAAAGTTTTTCATTTCTTTTGGACATAATTATGATGACAAAAATGCAAACACAACGGCAGAAAATTAAAGCAATAAAAAGAAAACATTGAATAATTTTGTGTGTACAAATTCTTTAAAAATGTGTCATCGTAGTTATGTCCGAAAAAATTTGACTTGACATTACAAAAGGGGGCTGTTCAAATATAATCTTACACCTTGTTTGGGACCTGACAACCATTGTTCCATGCGCTTTACATAAAATTCTTGAAGGACATGCATATTTACAGATCGGCGCAAGATCGCACATTCTAACGATTCTATAATTGCGCTGCAATCTTAAGATTGCACTGCACATTTTAACGATCATATACAGTGGAAACCATATATAACAGGCCTGGTAATAACAGGGATCCGGTAATAACAGGGATTTTTAAAACCCCCGTTTTTTCCTACTCTTTGTCTCTATTAAAAGTTATCGGCAATAATAGGGCCTCATCGGAGCCCAACCGGTTATAGCAGGGACCAAGGCTCATCAACAAGGAGTAAAAAATAAGAGAGAGAGAGTAACGCAGTGATGGAGCAAGCCCAGGCAAGCATTGCCACTGCAAGCACACGCAGCGTGTGAAGGGAGAGAGGCTGCAGACCTCGTTCTAGCCAGAAACCTAGCAACACGCACGCATAATGTGTCACCAACGATGTCAAGCGTGAGAGAAAATGCCTTTCAATTGACAACAATACGAAGTAATCCAGGCTGTTGACAAAAAGCAATCTCCACTGGCAGAGATTTGTCGTCAGTTCGACATCCCACAAGGGTCGATTCACACCATTATCAAGGATAGAGAGAAGATAGTGGCAGCATACTCCAATGAAAAGTTTGCTCTGGATCGAAAGAAGATGTGACTACCCTATGCAGATGCCCTGGACCAAGCTCTTCTGATGTGGTGTAAGGAGGCAAGGAGAAAATTGGTGCCAAAACCTCTGTACGTGGGTACTTGTGGCAAGGGAAACTACCCACGAATAAGTACAGCTGGATTAGTCCACAAATGCTCACTTTCCTTTGCATTTCTGATTTAACAGGGATCGGATATAACAGGGCATTTTCTCTACTCCCACCATCCCTGTTATATCAGGTTTCCACTGTAATTCACTCCCATCTTTTCGCTTTTACTCACATCAAGGAACACTCATGTATATTATCAAAAGTGCAAAAATATGAATATTAAAATTAGATATGAAACTGAGGAGCCCACAAGAATGATACAATGATATAATCGTTAAAGCGCGCAAGGCAATCTTAAAATTGCCCCACAACCTTAAGATTGCCACGCAATTATACGATTGTTGAAATGTGCAGCGCAATCTTAAGATCGGTAAATTGCGCGGAACACATACACAGATATCATACGTATGCACATAATAATATACATTTGTGCATTTACTCAAAAATAACCGAGTAGATAATTCAAGCAAAATATTGCATACACTACACTCTTTAATTCTTACTATAAGGAAAAAATTGAGACTCCTGTCAATTTCAAAAGCACCTTAATTGCAAAAAAAACAAATTACAGTGGAATTCAGGACCGAAAAAAAGTGTTGACTTTGAGCTAGGTTCACATTGTACTACTGGCCATTAAAAATTGAAGATGACAGCTACAAAATTACAAAGTACCTGGTAACAAGATGTTAACTCAATTTCAGCGAGTATAATTCTAAAGTTGTCACCAAAACAAGAGATAATGAGTGAACAAAGTAATTGGAGGTGTGTACACCACTAGCTCAGGACCTAAATATCTCTTCATGAATTCATCTTGGGATTTAGCTCCAAATTGTGCAAGGTTAACAACCTGTTGACTGTACATGTATCGGAAACACAATTACTTAAACAAAGAAGGTAAGAAACGGGACCACAGTGAGGTGTTGACTGTAAGCAAGAGTTGACTTTATCAGGATTCCACTGTATCTGTTATTACGAGTCATTATGCTTAAAACAAAAGGTGAAATTAGTTATCATCAACAAAGGCAGTGTTCATCATTATGTCAAAAATATTTTTGAAAAGGGGGGCATCTGCTGAGCTGTCTTCCAAATACGGGTCCTGTTCCATCTTCCTGCTTTGTTTCCTCTTCCTCCTCTTCTTCCTCCACCTCCATTTCTTCCTGTGTAAAGCCCTGTGCCTCTTCAATGCTGCAATACTTGGAAAATATTTTCCACATTCCCTGTGGCCTCTGCACACCATGCAGCTTTTCTTGACCAAGGCCACCCCTTTTCCCCTTATTTTTTCACCTTACAAACAAAGTGTAATATTACATTTGTTCAAGGGACAACCCCCCCCCCCCGTAAGATTATATTTGAACAGCCCTTAATGCCAGTTACACAGCTTAACATGTTGTCTGTAGGTCTGTAAATACACGTTTTTGTAGGAGATATACATGAATAGAAAAATTCAAGTAAAAACGAAATATTAAAAATTTTATCAACCCTCTTTTTCTACATTTTAGGTACCACCCTATTGGCGAAATGTTTGTCTCTCTTGCACACACAAGCGCGCGCGCACACACACACAAAATACTGAATCATGATAAGGCTGTAATTCCCACATTGGTTGATCTATGGCTCAAGTGATCTTTTCTGAAGCGTCTTTCATCCACATTTTTCTGGTTAAACCACGTGTGATGTGAATGGCGCGGAGACCCATGGTGGTTTTGGGCAGTGGTTCAAACTCCAGTTCCCACTCTGGTTAAAACCGCTTGGTTGAAATATACATGTGTATGGCCCCGAAGAAGCCGTCCCTTTTACCCACGGGACGCCAATTGGCGATATGATACAACAACAAAAAACGTTGCAGCAATTATCTCCTTGCTAACATATGCACTTGTTAAATTTACTTTTTTAATGGGTTGTGTGGCCTTTGAGTTAGAAAATCAGTTTGCATACAATTGGAGTGATTTTTGAGAAAAATTGTTGAGTAGACCTAGCATGAGCGCTGCTTTACTTTTACGCCATAATGAGAATTCGGGTGGTGAATGAGCTAGATTTAGTGTTTTCAGTTCTGATTCTAATTCCTCTTTGGTGAACATGCAATCATCATTTTCAATTTTCTCAGTATGCTGAAAATTTCATAACGGTTGAGGTATTTTTGCCGAGATACAGGTATCGTACTGATGTAGCCCATCTGCACCCTGGTCCGTGGGGATAAGTGTTGTGCATTCTGCCTGGGTGGAATGTGTTAATCGTTTTTCAGTAAAGTCCACACAAAGATGTTTTTAAAAATATACATAAAAGATTAAAATATCGAATAAAAATTGACAAACCAGTTCAGGGCTTAGAATTGTCTGCCTAAAGGCGAATGTCCGCTCATCCGAACGCCTCTTCCGCCTTTTTTCCGTAGTGCATAGTATTTGTTAAATGTCGGCCAGCTGTTCAGGTGTCCTAAGCCCATAATTTAAGGCATTTTTAATGCTGTTGCATGATATGTGTTATTGGTCCTGGAGAAATATTGTGCTCAAATTCTAATGTTGAAAGAAAAAAGTTGTAAAATTTACCTAGTGTAATGATTCTTCAGACAATGAAAGTTTTGTCCCTTCTGAAAAAATTTACCCCCTGGGGCGGTGCCACTGATTAAAGGTCATTCCCAAAGGGGGGACATTTCTCATACATGCACAGTAGAATTGTAAATGGGCTGATCCAACAGTGTCACACTCATAACTGCCAGATCACGACAGGGAACTGCTGCTTTTTCTTTTCTAATCCTTACTATTGTCATTTCCCTCTACTTCTTTGTATGTTATGTTTGTCATACTCTTGTGACCCCCCGGGGAAGTGCCACTGACTGTAGTGTCTTTAGGCCATTCCCAAAGGGGGGACATTTCTCGGTCGAGCATAGTAGAATTGTAAATGGGCTGACTCATGTCACGCTCATAACTGTGCCTGATCTACAACAGGGAGCTACTGCTTTTTCTTTCCTGATCCTTACTATTGTCAATTTCCTCTACTTCTTTTGTATGTTTGTCACTCTCTTGTGACCCACTATTTTCGGGGTGCCTTGATAGTCGAAGCAGACTTTGTGCTGTTGAAGCTAGAGAGGTGAGTAGATTTAAAGGCCCATTTAGACGTACAGTTCGCTGATCGACAAACTGACAGTTTAACTGACGGACGCTCGATCTGTGTCATCGGTAAACTGAAAGTTTGTCGACGAGAGATGTTCCGTTTAGACATACAGTTTTTTTTATCCGTCCTTGGACTGTTGTAGCTAGATCTAGGTCAAAAACGTCAACAATAGCTGCATGGATGATTTGGCAGCATTTTTTTTTCTTAAATCCAAAAACAAATCTAGAAACAGGACCATCTGGGCTAAAGAATGGCTATTAAAAAGAAGTACCCACACACACAAATATTCTATTTCCACAATACTGGCAACGTTCGATAATGTTCGATGAACTGTAGAATAGTTTGCTTTTTCAGTAAACCCCCCCCCCCTTCCAATTACTATTCGCCGGTTTTGGTCCCAAGAGTGTTTCAGGGGACAGCTAGAAATCTAATAAGAATAAGGGGGGGGGGGGCACTTTACCATAATTTGATGTTTTGCCGTTAGGTTTGATATCTCTCGCTCGCCGCGCATCAAACATAACTTGTGATCTAAATCTAGATCTAGATCTCTAGGTCCAAATAAGCGGGGTGGGAACTATCGAAAAGACACCCAGTTTCCTTGTTATTCCACGCGGACATTGTACTAGAACTAGGCTAGAAGACCTGTGCAATAGTAAAACTGGTAGCGTGTAGACAACAAAAAATTAATTAAATAAACAGCACTGTCTAGATCTACTGGTCTAGAATAGTCTAGATGAAACAATGGAGTGTAGCCCTCAGTACATTCACACACACACAAATATTCTATTTCCACAATGCTGGGAACGTTCGATAAAGTGCGATGAAGAAATGTAGTAGTTTATTTTTTTGGTAGTCTCCCCCCACCCCCCATTACTATTCGCCGGTTTTGGTCCCTTGAGTAGATGTAGGGGGGGGGGGGGGCAGCTAGAAATCTAATAAGAATGTGGGGGGGGGGGCGCACTTTACCTTGATATCTCTCGCTCGCTGCGCATCAAACATAGCTTTCTGATCTAAATCTAGATCTGGATCACCCTCTCTGATCTGGATCTGGATCTAAAACTAAAACTATCTGAAAAATTTTGCTCTCTGTGAATGGAACAATAGAGCATCCTGGTTACAGTGTATACAGTATAAACCGGACAGGTCGAACACAGATTTCTCAAAATCACGCAGCCGCCAAACTGCTGGCAGTCCCATTTTCTGCTTTCTTCATCTTTGTAAGAAAATTACGCGACGCTCAAACACAAACTCAGAATAGTCAAACTAATTATGCCCGTAAAGGTCTATAGTCAATGTCCTTTGAGAAGCTCAAGATAATAATGATAATAATAAAAACGGATAAAGGCAAGGTGGGTAACCGCCCCCTCCACAGAAGCAGCTTGCTGTGCTATTTTTAGCGTGGTGTTTGACACGTATGCTCTCTGCTCTCTGCTCTCTTCGCGTGCCTAGGTCCTAGGCCTAGCTAAGCCTGTGTGAGCGTGCGAGAGGAAGGGTTGTGATGTGCATCACACAATCGGCCGCCCCACCCCTCTTCGCAAAGGACTGTGCTTGGTAGGAGAGGCGGGGTATGGCTGCAGTTTCATCATCGCACTGTTGATTACTGTTGTTGTTTTGAAAATTTTAAAACAGCGTCGTTTGATTGATGCAGACTAAAGACCGACCCGTGATATTAAAATGTCTTTGTACTGCTAGACTCATTACCGATTGAACTCGAAAGCATTACTCATTGTGCTTCTCATTCTCAATCTGCCAATTTGAGATTCTCTCAAATTTCAAATTCAAGTCAACAGGTATAGATCTAATCTATCTGATAGTGGATGGTTGGCTGGTGCTCTGGTGTGGTTTGCTTCTTCTTTCCTATCAAACATCTATCGTCTTTATCTCCCCTCCTTCTGTTTTGTGTTTGTTACTTTCTTGTAACACCTCTAATCTTCAGCACTTATATGACCTTATTGTGTTGCAAGTGCCGTAAAACACTTACTGAAAACTAATCTATCTGATCAAGGACAATGGCCGAGAAAAGAAAAGTCTTGGTTCCGACTGAATATTTGTTGCTTCCCTTCATTCTCTGACACAGCCGATGCCATAACACTGTTTAAGCATCCACTGAACTATGAATCCCCCGAACTAACCGAGAGGCCAGTCCCGGCGAATTCGTGCAATCCGTGTAATACTGTATATGTCATGTACAGTTGAAACTCAAAAACAGCCACTCATTGTCAAAAGTGTAATTAAAATGTAAAAAAAATACACAAGGGAGGAAATTTGAAGTGGCTGTTTGTACAGGTGATTGTCTTATAACAGTAATTCGAGGAATATTTTGAATAACTGTATAGGCCGGCAATTTTTAGTTCTTAGAAATTATAAAGTGTTAATGTGCTTTATTAAGTGCAATTTTTAGGTTTTTTAAAGCTTCGGTTAATATCATATGTGTGGCATGAAGTTCAGATACGTTATTTTCACCCTTGTAAGAATTGTTTTGTTCTTATGTAGGAGAGCACAGTTGTTCACGAAAATAAAGAGGATGCATCTGGTAAAGAATCTGAAGCGTCCAGTGTGGGCACAGGTACAGGCAAGATAAAGACAAAAAAATTTTCCCAGCATATGTCATCCAAGAAGGAGGAGAATGATGATGTAAGTAAGGTTTTTATTCAAGTAAATATGATTGAACTCTCTCTCTCTCTCTCTCTCTCTCTCTCTCTCTCTCTCTCTCTCTCTCTCTCTCTCTCTCGCTCTCTCTCTCTCTCTCTCTCTCTCTCTCTCTCTCTCTCTCTCTCTCTCTCTCTCTCTCTCTCTCTCTCTCTCTCTCTCTCTCTCTCTCTCTCTCTCTCTCCCTCCCTCCCTCCCTCCCTCCCTCCCTCCCTCCCTCTCTCTCTCTCTCTCTCTCTCTCTCTCTCTCTCTCTCCCCCCCCCCCCCCCCCTCTCTCCCTCCCTCCCTCCCTCGATCGTGGAGGGTTAAAAATGATAGATATCAGCCTTCAGAAAGGGACCATGGATTCAATGTCTTTTCAGGGAGTGGTGAAAAAGAGACATGTGGAAAATAGGCACCTTGGATTTTCAGTGTCAACTCATGGGTATTGCCTTCTTTCATAGTGTCAACACAAGGGTAATGCCTTCTTTCATGTCATTTTGGTCAAGGTCTTTTTTGAGTATTTCTATAACTTTTTGCAAACTTCAAAATGTAGATGCAAACAGCTTTGGATGATTTTTGCAATTTGAGCCTGAACTGTTTCCTGGATTCCTGGGACACTTCTTAATGAATGCTACTAAAGAATATTGGACCTTTCTCACTGAGCCATTTTTTATCTCCAATTGTTTTTTCAGGCACAAGAGGTACCCAACCTGAGGACAGATTTTACGCTTCCTGTGGCCAGTATGGACCCCATCTCCTTTCAAAGTTTTCCTGTCAAGTCTCACACTGTGGCTCAAACCAGCATTCCATTGTCATCTCTTCAGTCTGATGTCTCGCCCCTCAAGTTCACCTTTTCAACTCCAATTCAGGAGAAACGTCAACCTGCCAACTATCATACATTAAACTTTGAGGACAAGGTTAGAATGAGTGTTGCTTTTATTTTCAGTTAAAAAGATATAGTCCTATGAATTCCAGTATATTTAGTTTTCAGGCATTCTGGGGAAATCCTTTAAAAACCCTTGTTATATGAGCACATTCTGTATTTGCTCTTACGACCATAAGTCGTATACCGTTGGCACTGTGTGGACTTGTTGAGAGTGCCAGCCATATGATAGCATAGCAAGGAGTTAGCATATAGTTATGCAGCTATTCTTTTCTTAGTAGCAAAAGTAAACATTTTGTTCAGGTTATGGATTTTAGGAATCTATGAAAGCGTGATCTACAGCTCTTTAAGAAAGTGTGCTTCCAGTCACAAGATGTATTAAAGGTATCTTGCTATTTTTACAGCATTGGTGGTCTACTCCTTGGTTGTGATGTGTCTGTATGTTGGTCATGTTCACTTAACACAGAGATGCCAACCAGTACGATTTTACGTATTTTACGATTTTTTGCCGAAAATACGCGAATACGACTTTTCATGTAAAAATACGCATCCTGGAATGCGAAAAATACGAGATTCAGCTTGGACGAGTAATCCTAATTATCTCAAGTCCCATCTTTTGTCAAAATAGTTTCAGTATAGCGGAACTGGAATATTTGAAAACCAAGTCCGATAAGGTCAGTAAGTTCAGCCTTACCCCGTCCGAGAGTACATTTAACTTTCATTTGGGTAGGCGGCAGGCGGAATTGTATATGACACCGAGGCTCGATCGGGAAATTCAAGATCTACTTTTGCTTTCATTACCACAGAGAAGTTTGCCAGTGGTAGTCTGATAACGCAACATTTGTGACATGCAGGTTGTGCAGTATAAACACTGTGTCGCCGTGCAAATGAAGTTTAATCAATACTCGGACTCGTCTCTGTGCTGTCACTTGTGGGGAAAAAAGGGGGAAAAATGCAAGGGTCGTCCGATTTTTAGATTGTCTGGCTCGCCATCGTGACCGGCCAGTGACCCTGCGCACATTCGCATCATAAAAATAGGGCATCGTGTGAGCAAAGACCGTCTTTAGTGGGAGTAACGGCTCGGCGAAGTATAGGACTACGGAATAGGGGAGGGGATTATTGATTTTTTTGAAAAGATACACTGAGGGGGGAGGGGGGTGTGTGTGTGTGTGTGTGTGTGTGTGTGTGTGTGTGTGTGTGTGAAGGCCACACCAGAGGACAACAACTTGGAAGCAATTTCAGTATTTTGATTAGAGCTCTCTGCAAAGAGCGTGTTGGTGCAGGCCGTGTGCGGAATTGGGACCCTTCATACTTTGCAAGTCTGTGTTATTGAAATAAAGTGTTCGTGTTTTATTGGATGGGTGATAGTAAATTATACCTACAGTGTATGTTGTAGCCGTCTGTTTCAAGACTGGCAGATTTTCAGTGTTACTGCATCTTGCCCTCCCACAGTTGTTACAACTCTCACAGTGCTTGTTGGGTCTACTTGAGCCATTCAAGTTATTGCTCTTATCTGAGTTTGAGCAATAACTTTAGCCTGTCAATTCCTAACATGAATTCTGACACCCAGACTGGTTCTTGATAGTCGAAATTCTTGTTCTAGACCCTTCCGAACGCCCAAAGCAGGATTAATTTTTTATATAATAATGAGACAAAAATATTATAATAGACTGAAATATTTCAAACAAGACCCCAGTATGACACTGAACACTAACATGTTGTTGACTGGACACATGTATATTGTACGCGTGTGTACTCCCTTTTTCGAGCTGGTGAGCTAGTAAATTTTTTTCCAGGAAATATTGCTGGACACAGTGAACATTTTACTAGTTGCTCGGTCGCTCGTGGGGAATACACATTTTCATATTTCCCAATACTTATTTCGGTCTTCTGTGGTTGGCATCTCTGTTTACACCTACATCCCATCATTTACAACAATAACAACAACCCCCCCCCCCAGGACTTTGTCTTTAGTTCCCCTATCAAAGCTTCAGCAGCCAAGACTTCAGCAGCCATGAATTCAGCAGCCAAGACTTCAGCAGCAGGGGCTGAAGAGGGTGCAAAGACCTCACCAGAACCTGCTGTTGGGGCTTCGTCTGTGGCAGGAATTGGTGTTTCTTCTGCAGCTTTTTCACCTGCCCCAGTTCCATCTTGGGGCTCCACTGCTCCAAAGCCAAAGACTTTGTCTCCTGATATTGGAGGTACAGTTGCTGTTCAGTTAAATTACGTTTTGAAAAGCTGTAAATTGTATTCTTGAATGGGGGGAGGGGGGAGGAGTAGCTCAAACATAAAACTACTCCTTGTGCTAATCTTTGATTCGATGACACCTGTAAAAGAAAAAGATTTGAATTAACATGTCTCATGATCACCATGTCAGGGTGACTGCCAGGCCCCGGAATCCCCCGGGAATTAAAAAAAATCGCCATGCCCCCTGGAATTTGAGGAAATCTGTAAAGTACCTGGGAAAATACATAACAGCTCTCGAACATTTGAAAACCAAATCGGATAACGTGCTTGGGTTCATTTTTTCCGGCGGCGATTGTTTTTTTATATTCATTTGGCTTTTCCCTGTCTGAGAGTACGTTTCACGTGAACTGGCGCCTATGGCGGCTGACGAAAATGTATGTGTGATACTGAAGCTTGATCTACTTTCACTTTCTTTACCTCCCAGAAATTTGCAGGTAGCAGTCTGATTAATGCAACATTTCTAACATGCAGGTTGTGCGTTACAAATGCTGTGTCGCCATGAAAATAAATCAATAATTGTCACTTGCTGTTATAATGAGAGGGAGGGGACTGGTGCGAAATGTCAGTTACAGCAGGATTCTCATTATTAGGGATCCAGTAGTAAATTCAATGGAAATAATAAAGTAGGCCTAATCTATGAGTTTGGTGTTCTGTTTATTTCTTTTTGATATCTCCCCTGATGATGATTTTGTTTTAACGTGACTGCCAGGTCATACTTAATAGAAAAATGAATCGGGTTCCTTTCTCTAGCGCTAGCGATGTTGACAGCCCGGCGTTGGTGGTCAGAAAGAAAGGGCTCTAGGCTAACTCGCCCGCTGTGTTGTCCCCCACCCCATCACACCCTGTGGTGCATTCCATCTGCTTGGGCATGTTACCCGTTCGCTCCATCCATCACAGCACTGAGAACTGTGACCTCTCCATCCCCGCATCGGAGAAGTGAGAGATATGGTAGGCCTAGATAATCTAGACTAGGCTGGCCTATCACGCGATGCATTCCGCTTGTCTGCGCATGCCACACCCTCCCCACTCCTTCGTTCCAGTCTTCATTGTTGACACACGTAGGCTCTCCCATTCTTTGTTTCGCTAGTTCACCAAGTTTCTCAACTTGCGATGTTTTACATAATGTATATTTGGCCTCTGCGCAGTAAAATATTGCGCTATAGCAGTATTTTATTTTCAAAGATAAAGAAGAGAAAACCCCCCCGGGGTTTTAGAATAGTCTTTATAAAAGACTTCTCATTATTTCTGGACTTGTTATAAGTAGAAGTATAGGGCTCCGGAATGGGGGGATTATTGATTTTTTAAACAGATGGGTGTGTGTGTGTTATGAAGGCAACACCGGATGACAAGAACTGAACTTGGAAGCAAGTTTTCCTATTTAGAATTTTGATTGTCACTAGAGCTCTTTGCACAGCTCGCTTTGGTGCAGGCCTTATTTGGAATCGGGATCCGTCATGCTCATACCTTGTAAGCCGTGTTATTAACGAAAGGGTTTGGGTAGTACGTTTTGTTTCGTATTGAGAGGTGTAATAATAATGATAATAATATATAACATTTATATAGCACATTTCCAAAAAAGTAGCTCAATGCGCTTTACATTGGAATACCCATTTTTCAAAAACCTTTCTTACTACTTACTTTCTTCTCATGCAATATACATTAATGCACACACACACACACACACACACACACACACACACACACACACACACACACCCCACACACACACAGACTATTTTCATCCAGACATAGGAACAGAACAAATATAATGAAAGATAACGTTAAAAGCTTATGAAGAATAGGCCTGTAGGAACAGAAAATGTTTAAGATGTCTTTTGAAGCCATCAAGTTTTCTTATTTGTCTTAGTTTCATGGGTAATCTGTTCCACATAAATGGACCAAGATATGAGAAAGATCTTTCTCCATATGAATTGTATGATTTTACAGGTGTCACAAGTAGGGTGTTATCGTTTGATGATCTTAGGTTTCTCCCTGGTTTATTTATACTGATAAGTTCTTGTAGATAAAAAGGAGCAGTTTTATTTACACATTTGAAACACATGACGCAGATTTTAAATATTCGTTCTTTTACAGGGAGCCAATGCATTTCTTTTAATAATGGAGTGACATGGTCTTGTTTTTTAGATCTTGTTATCAGTCTAGCGGCATTGTTTTGAATTACTTGTAAACGCTTCAAATATTTGTTGTTCAGACCTGCTAGGAGTGACTTACAATAGTTTTCAAAGAAATGTTTTGATCAAGTGTTATTTCTTTGCCTCTTGTATGCTTTAAAATTTTAAAAAGTGCCACAGGAGTGCCTACTACAAAGAATCATTACTTTTTATAGTATTTTTATTGCTTTGGTCTAGTAGTACCGTTTCTTCAATTGGTAGTGTAATTGAGCATGTGTTCCTCTGTTGGATTAAGTGAAGATTAACTCTTTCAGGCACATCGTCAAGTTTCAAGTCCTATTCCAAATGGGGAAGCAGCAAGAGCAACAGTGACATTTCTGCAGCCTCTGAAAACCCAGGCTTTTCTTTGGCACCGGCTTCCTCACTCAAATCTGGTTCTGTGATGGATATACTAGGTGATGGAAAATGTAAGTAATTCACTGTTGCTGTCTGTCTCAATCCCGACATGGTTGCCAATTTTTTTTGAATTTTTTTTTGGGGGGGGGTTAGTATTTACAAATTTATGGCCATATCAACAAAATTCACCATGAACTCCTAATTTTACAATGGGTGCCGAAATATAAGGTTTTTAGTCACCTTTTTTTCTTTTAAATACTCCGAGAAATGAGCGAGTTATGTAACTTTTGTTTATTGATGGATTTCAAAAATTCAAAAAGTTCCATCACCCCCAGTGGGTCAGGGGGGATATAAATAGACCCGCTGCTCCGCCAGCAGGAGGTGCAACCTCTTCACTGGCGATTTGTCGCCCATGGACATTTACGCTCAGGTGCACATGGGCGACACTTGCTTTGGTGTATCGTCTGTCTTCTATCGTCTTTCTTCCTTCTTCTTTCGTCCTTCCCCGAGCTGACCGGGGAATTAAATAAAAATAGTTGGCTGTCCCATCAACAGGGGGTGTAACCCCTCTGACGTAGGGGTGGCATCTTTTGTCCGCTCTTGCTATGTCTTCTATCCATCTATCTTTCTTTCCGTTCTGTCTACCGAAGGTCCGGTCCAGCAAAGAATAGACCCCAAATCCCCGCAACGCGAGGCACCCCTTTGACCGTGGGGTGCGACCCGAACGACCGGAGAAGGGGACCCTGGTGGCTGAGGTGTGGCTATACTCACCAACACGCCACTTTGGCCCTGGATTCTGTCTAGACGGGCGGGTGCAGTGGCCTACTGCACTCAATCGGTTGCGACTGGTTCATAGATTTCTTGCCGTCTGATTGGGAGTATACCTCCAGGGTAGCCCTGACACCAGCTATGGACTTCCGAGCGGTGTCCCCTTGTTGGACTCAGTGGCGGGTGGGGAGCCCTGGAGATGAATAAAAGACAAAATACACATGGATTCAACCAAAAACATTTCTCCCACCCCAATTCCCAACAAGTCCCAGACAGGAGAAGCAGGTGAAACTCCTGGCCTGGGCAAAAGAAAGAAGGGCCTTTCGGGCGAAGATGCTGACAATGTCAAAAGATGGGTATAGCGATGAAAAACAAGACACAAATCTAACCACACTAAGCGTCTTCAAGATACACATATCACTAAAACATTTCGGTATTCACAAGCCAAAATAAATTAAAAAAACCAGGATCCACGGACCTCCTGCAAGTCAGTTCCAGCATTGAATCAGGCAAACTGTTGGCCTGCACCTCGTTTGGTGGCATCCAAGGGTGTCATCAAAAGCCGAGAGCTCTGCGGCTGTTCCGAAGAAGAAATGGTTCAGGAGGTCGATGTAATTGTCCATGCTCGTCGTATCAAAATATGGCTGGATAGCAAGGAAATTTGTACCAACACGTGGATCCTTACCTTCAACACACCCACACCACCAACAAAATTAGACATTGCATACTTAGAACATATATATCGAAACCGATGCGCTGTTTCAATTGTCAGCGCTTCGGGGACACACAGCTACGCTGTCGTCGTGGTGCAGCGTGTCCTCGCTGCGGCAAGGAGGGACACTCTGGGGAGACCTGCTCTGCAGATCCCTGGTGTCCAAATTGTCGACAGGGGGGGTCACTCTGCATCTTCGACGGAGTGTCCGAAGTGGTGTCAGGAGAAAGCCATCCTAACACATAGGGCCCAGTACGGCGGAACGTTCGCTCAAGCAAGAGCAACGCTATACCCAAAAGGATCGACGCCGAAGAATACAACCCTAACATATTCAGAAGTCCTGAAGACTGTCCCAGGGTCAGTAAACCCAACCCGAAAGGTCCTTCAGACAAATAGAAAGCAGAACACCAGCAAAAAACAACACTCCAGTCTGGAGTTAGAGGAGGACATGGAGTCCACTTCCTCCACTCCTATCTCTCCCTCTCTCCATCCGCCATCTCCCCCCACCCCCTCTTCATCACCACCCTCTCAGCCATCTTCTTCATCCTCACCCCCTTCATCATCCTCACCCTCATCATTCTCATCATCACCCCCATCATCTTCACCCACAACATCCTCCCCATCATCATCCTCACACAAATCACCACATCCTACACCCTCATTGCTTCAACCTCCATCCCATCATCCTTCATCCAATAAAGCCCCTCCACCCACTCCCCGCACCCGCTCCCCCTCCTCTACCTGCATCCAGGACTCCGGTCCTCCTCCCCCTCCACACTCTCCCTCAAAAAAGGCTGCGGTCCACCGTGACCGTAGCTAAACAAAACAAAGACAAAGGTCACCAACGACCAAAAAAAAATGTATCGAACCCGTGCCCTCAAAATAAATTAAAATGGCAGTTCTTCAGTGGAACATTCGCGGTTTGCGTGCAAACCAGGCAGAACTCTCTTATCTTTTTACCTCACACACCCCAAATGTAATCTGTCTACAAGAAACTAAATTGCCAACACCCACATTCACATTAAAAAACTATCAAATTTACAACCAAATATACACAGACAACCAAATTGCCTCTGGGGGTAACTCCATTTGAATAAATAACCAAACACTACACAGACTAATACAACTAAACACAACGCTTCAAGCAGTTGCGGTCAGGGTCACCCTACACCGTCCTATAACTATCTGTTCAATATACATCCCTCCAAATTATCCTCTATCTTTAAGAGAACTAATAAACCTCAGAGACCAGCTCCCACAACCCTTCATCATGTTGGGAGATTTTAATGCCCATAGCCCTCTTTGGGGAAATTAACCAACTGATACTAAAGGTAAAATCATAGAAGATTTCTTAGTAAAAACCAATACTAGTATTTTTAACGACAGTTCCCCAACATTTCAAAATTCAAATAACCTAAAAATTTCATCCATAGATTTAACCCTTAGTGATCCTAACCTAATTCCAGACTTTCAGTGGTCGGTCCTGGACGACCCACACAGATCGGACCACTTCCCCATCACCCTAATTCCAGACATTCCACACCGAATTCCTATCCCAGACTGTTTCAATCTTAAAAGAGCGGACTGGGATGGGTTTCACATGGAATGTCTGGAGAAACTCAATCCATCTCAAACACAAACACAAACTTTTGAACGATTTCATTAAACCCTTCTCGAAATCGTTCAAAAACACATACCAAAATTATCCACCAAACCCCGAAAAAATAAATGTTGGTTCACTGAAGACTGCCAAAAAGCTGTTGCGGCCAAAAAATCAGCTCTCGGGAAGTTCGTCAACTCTAAAACTAACGAAGACCTCATTAATTTCAAAATTGCGCTAGCCCAAGCACGCAGAAAAATCAGAACAGCCAAGAAAACATCTTTTCGAAATTATGTCTCAAAAATCAACAGCAACACACCAATGCACAAAGTCTGGAAGATGATAAAGAAATTAAAAGGTACTAAAAAAGACACAATCAAACACATCCTAAAACCGAATAACTCCTTCGTAGAAACCGAAAAAACAGTTGCTGACTGTATAGCATCAACTCTCTCAGGAAATTCCTCTACCCACAATTACAACCCTGAATTCAAAAAAGTAAAAATGTCTTCTGAAAAAACAACTGTTGATTTTACCTCTTCAAATGAAGAAAACTATAATTGCAGCTTTTCTCTTCATGAATTAAAATGTAATATTGCAGAACTATCAAACACAGCTCCAGGCCCTGATCAAATACACAACGAAATCATCAAACGTCTTCCAGACGACTGTTATACCAATCCCAAAACCAGGAAAAGATCACTCTAACCCTTCAAACTACCGTCCCATAGCCCTTACAAACTGTTTCTGTAAACCTATGGAAAAACTTATTAACAAACGTCTAATGTGGTTTCTCGAAACCTCAAACTCCTTATCCAATTTTCAATGCGGTTTTCGCAAAAATCGCTCTACTATTGACCATCTCGTCCGACTTGAAACTTTTATTCGGGAAGCTTTCATTCGAAAAGAGCACCTTGTGGCTGTTTTTTTTTTTCGACTTAGAAAAAGCATTCGACACCACATGGAAACATGGTATTCTGAAAGACCTGCATGACTTGGGCTTACGCGGAAATCTTCCCGAATTTATACGAAACTTTTTGAAAGATCGATCATTTCAAGTAAAAGTAGTTCAACCCTATCAAATTTACACACCCAAGAAGAAGGCGTCCCCCAGGGAAGCATCTTATCGCCCATTCTTTTCGAAATCAAAATCAATTCCATCACAAAAACCCTTCAAAACAATATTGACTGCTCACTTTACGTTGACGACTTCCTGATCTGCTATAAATCCAAATCCAAAATGGATCACATTGAACGTCAGCTTCAGCTTCAACTCCATAAAAACGGGCACGGGTTCAAATTTTCCACATTAAAAACAAACTGTGTACATTTTTGTCTGTCGCACAAGTGTGTGCGACAACCAGATTTATATTTGTTTGGAGAGAAAATTCCTGTTAAAAAACAAGCTCGTTTCCTGGGCGTAATCTTCAACAATAAACTTTCTTTCCTACCACACTTGAAAGACCTAAAGACGAGGTGTCAGAGTGCTCTCAACGCCTTAAAAGTATTATCCAATCCTGAATGGGGAGGAGATACTGAAATACTTCTTCAACATTACCGTTCCCTTGTCCGTTCCAGGCTGGACTATGCCAGTCCTGTTTACGGATCAGCCAGAAAGTCTTATCTTAAAATTCTAGACCCTGTTCAGAACCAAGGCCTTCGCCTTGCCCTAGGCGCTTTCCGTACTTCACCTGTAGAAAGTTTACAGGCAGAAGCGCATGAACCATCTTTGGAACTTAGAAGAAAAAAACTCTCTTTGCAGTATGCTTTGAAACTTACTCAGTACCCCAAAACCCAGCCCACAAATGTGTCTTTGGCCTTCCCGAAGACCTAAAAACTTTATCCTCCTTAGGAAATAAAGTAAGCCCTTTCGGAATAAGAATCCAGAACGATCTCAAAGACATTGATTTTTGTGAAGACATAATCGAGCTGTTTGCCATATCCTGCATACCTCCATGGCATTTAACCAAACCAAACATAGATACTAGTCTTGAAAAACACAACAAAAAGTCCACAGACAAAACTACATACTTAAACTCATACAAACAGCTAATAAATAGATACCTTGAAGCAGAGAAACCCTTTACAGACGGATCCAAAAATGACTCCTCGGTAGGAGCTGCTGCCCTTACATCGCCACACAGCTTAAGCTTAAGGAAACTCCACCCAGAAATATATAATTGTCGTTGTCGGTGTATATATACATACATTGAAATTTGTATTGTATATACAAATGTAAATAAGCCTTTTCCATATTTACAACAACAAAATTTTTAAAAATAAATGTTTGTTCGTCTTTTTAGCATAATAGAAATAGTGTGAGCGTTTGCGGTTGCGAGCTCCGAAAGACTCTTTATTAAAAACACGTCTGATTTTGTAGCGGTGAAACCTGATGGCGCTTAAATGACCAAAATTGTGTCGATAGGGCCGTAAAACATCTACCCAATCAATCAATCAAACCAAACATAGATAATAGTCTTGAAAAACACAACAAAAAGTCTACAGAAAAAAATACATACTTAAACTCATACAAACAGCTAATAAATAGATACCCTGAAGCAGAGAAACTCTTTACAGACGGATCCAAAAATGACTCCTCAGTAGGAGCTGCTGCCCTTGCATCGCCACACAGCTTTAAGCTTAAGGAAACTCCACCAAGAAGCTTCAGTCTACACTGCTGAGGCTACAGCTCTTGAAATGGCCCTAAATATTATCGATCAATCAACCAAGTCTACTATTCTAATCCTTTCAGACTCTCTCTCTTGTCTGAAATCTTTAGAGCGCTCTGACACCCCTGACAACAGAATTTTAAAACTTATAATTAAACTGCATTTTCTACATCAGTCTGGAAAAACTATTACAATAGCTTGGCTTCCAAGCCATGTAGGCATTGATGGCAACGAAGCCGTTGACCAATTTGCCAAAGAATCTCTAAAACTACCTGAAAACAAAAATAGTAAAATCCCTTTCTCTGACATGAAACCGAAAGTAAAAGAACACATCACATCCTCCTGGTCCCAAATTTGGAATCAACAAATACACAACAAACTCCATTACATTCAACTGAAACTTACGACCAGGAAACCACCATTTCTCCCACGAAGAGAAAAAGTAATTTTTACCCAACTAAAGATAGGACACACGCACGTCACGCACAAACATTTGCTCGAAGGAGAGGAAACTCCTTTTTGCGTGTCGTGCAACACCAATTTCACAGTTCGGCACATCTTAACGGAATGTGTCGAATTTAATTATGTTCGTGAGAAATATTTTAAATGTAAAGATATTAAGACCCTTTTTGACATCATAGAGCCTTGAAAAATTGTAAGTTATATAAAAGAAATTGGACTATTTAATAGAATGTGAAAATATATAGTTATCGTTATCGGTGTATATATACATACACTGAAATTTATATTGTATAAATACAAATGTAAATAAGCCTTTTCCATATTTACCCAAAAATTTTTATAAATGTTTGTTCGTCTTTTTAACATAATGAAAATAGTGTGATCGTGTGCTGTTGCGAGCTCCGAAAGACCCTGACTAAAAACACGTCTGATTTTGTAGGGGTGAAACCTGCTGGCGCCTAAATGACCAAAATTGTGTCGATAGTGCGTAAAACATCTACTCAATCAACCAATCAAAAAAAAGTTCCATGCTCTATGAAGATAAAGCTACAAAATGCACCTATTTGCAAACACTTTCTGACCAAAAAGAAGGTTTTTCGTGGTCATTGCTAGTTATGAGTTGTCGGCAATCTCTTCAAACAAGTTCCTAAATGCCATTTTCAACCCTCTAAAAGCACCAAAAAAAAATTTCTGGGACCTATGCAGCCCCCAGACACCACGGCAGAATTTTCCTTTTTAGCGCAACTGTTGGAAGCACTTGGGACAAGTTCGACTATAGCGAAATATGTCAATTTGCATTTATATTATGTTCTCAGTGTTGTGGATACTGAAATATATACACATTTCTGACCTTGTTTTCAGCATTGAGCTCACCAGTTGCACCTGCTTTCCTGAAGACGGATGATTTAATGGCAAAGTTCAAAAAGCCTCCTGGTGCTTGGGACTGTGGGACTTGTATGCTTGGGAATACTGCAGGTGCACAGAAGTGTGTAGCATGCGAAACGCCCAAACCTAGAGCCAGAAAGACTGGTAAGCCTGGAGCTTATAGGATCTAGCCTAGGGCAAAGTTAAACACAGACTAAAAAATTATAAAGAGAGTCGGGGAGAGGAGAAAGTGAGGCTGGCACGACTTACGAACGAAGGGAAATTTTTCTACATGAAATGGACTATGTCTACTACGCACTCAAGCACGCCTCGGCATAAAGCATGCTTAATAATTTTATGCTTTCTCCCGATGACTGTGCTTAAAGCCAGCATTGACTGTACCTGATTTTTTTTGCCAGAATGCAGGGCTGCCCACCATTTTAGCAGAATCCGTACGATTTTTATTCACTTTAACGGAAGTACAATTGTAATTCCCCCGATTCCGATTTCTAAAAAAAAATTGGCTACCCCAACACTCTTCTGTGTAAATTATAAAGGGGGAAAAATGTAAAAATTATCCGACTCCAGCAGTCTATGTCACAGCGTCACATGCAGCTTTCTGACTTAATTTAACAGTGTTAACACCCTCTCGGCATTGGGCCCTTCTTGTGGCTCAGTGCCACTTTGCCCTTAGAAAAACATTAGATTTTAGAAGTGCCAAAGCCAGGAGTAAAGCAAACATTACATTGACAAGGTGTTAGAAAATCCCTGCCCTTTCGTATCATCATGCCTTTGTTTACGTTTTTTATGCTATAGTGGATTACAACCTGTATCCTTAACACCACATGGAAGACGATTTTCCCTGGCCATATTACGAATTTTAAAGCCAGTTTACTTATTTCTCTCTGTTGGTTATCAAAACATTTTCTGGTGGGTGGGCAGCCCCGAGAATGCCTGAAATTGACACCCTGAGTGTACGTGAAAGGGGACATTTGATGAGATTGGCTTGATGTCAGTCGTGTAATATGTCCCAGGAAAATGAATGCCCCCCCCCCAAGTTAGTTTGGCAGTCACCCTGCAGGGGGATCATAATATATCTAAGTTCTTCTCTCTTAGGTATGCTATGCTGTCTCTAGTACATTTTGCAACTGTTTGGTGAAAATATTGTTGGTGAACATTACTTCAAGTAAAGTGAAAACATTGAATTGGAGAAACCTGATGGTCAAGACCTTCCAAATTCTTGGGACATTGTAGATTATTCTGCCTTATGTTCTTAGCTTCATTCTAAGCTGAGCTTTGTTCACTGTAAATGCTGGTCAGGTTCTCACCAAGTGTGCATCTTTGTCTCAAGATTCCACGACTGTGTTGAAAGCTCCAACAGCCAGTGCCACAAGTACTCCACCGGCCACTGATGACTTCCTAGCTAAATTCAAGAAACCTGCAGGTAGCTGGGAATGTGATACATGTATGCTGACAAACAAGCCAGATGCTGTGAAGTGTGTGGCTTGTGAGGCACCAAAGCCAGGAGCCAAATCATCGCAAGCTGGGGAAGCAGGTAGGTTGTTTGAGAGGCTTGCTTTATCTCAAGGTAGTTCATTATTCTATGCAAAACTGTTCTCCAATTATTTTTGTACTTCAGTACCCTTTCAAGTATTGATACTTTACTTTTACTTTACTTTTCCGATCCAGCTGCCATTTGGGTTCTAGCCCTTCGGCCTGTCGATATGGCAAAGAATTTACAGGTTTTTGTCAGCTGTGTTTTGTCGCTGTATAGAGTATTTCCGATGTCTGGGGAGGCAGGTAGGTAGGTGCTACGCAGGTCGCAAAGTGCAGGGCAGGTAAAGAGTTGGTGTGAGACTGCTTCATCCTGGCAGTCACACAACGGGCAGTCGGGTGGGGTATCCTTGCTGATCCTATTTAGGAAGGAATTCAGTTGGATGTGTTGTGTTCGCAGGCGAAAGATCCTGACTTGTTCTCTTCTACTCAGGAAATTTAGTGCATTTTATGAGTTGGGAGCTGTCATGTGGGCAAATACCCTTCTTCCAGTTTTGCCCGTTGCCCATCCATTCAGCCACTGTTCCCTGGTGTTGCATTTTGATGATGTTCTTGACTGTCTGTTGTGATACTGATGATGTTCTTGACTGTCTGTTGTGATACTGGGTTTTGAGGTTGTGTTTGTGTGCAAGTATTGATTGAAATTGACTTTTCTTTCTTTCTTTTTGTGTGGGTTTTTTTCTCTCCAACAAAGTGTTACTTTTTGCCCGATTCTGTTACTTTTAGTTTGCACGACTCAGCGGCCCTCCGGAGCTCCCAGGCTCAGGGTCATGGGGTTATTTAGCCTTGAAGCAACTTTGCTGGTGTCAGTTAAGAAATCTGTATTTTTGTCTGTTTGAAATAAAATAACTTCTTCCCTATCTCACACAGCAAACCTTTACAGTTTTGGCCCTGGCAATGTTGGCAGGTATGCATTGTTTCTTTGCAGTTTGGTCAACAATACTGTTTCACCTTCATATCTGCTAAAATGTGGCTACCTTAGATAAATAATCTTCTTCCTTCCTTTCATTCTTTCTGTCTATCTTCGACGTTTTGCTGCTGCTGGAAAATCTACATTTATCTAGAAAACTGAAATCGGAATGTAGAAAGAAAATAGGTATCGGAGCAAAACTTTCTCAAATCTGTCGTGTCTAGAGAATTGGTCAGTACCGTTAGGAGGATTCTATGCAGGGTGACTGCCAGGCTCCGGGATCCTGGGGGCCCAGGAATTGACCGGGAATCTGGACAAAAATCTCCTAGACCCGGGAATGCCCCTGGAATTTTAGGAATTCTGTACATTGCCTCAGGGAAAGACCGTGAAAATGCACAAAGTCCTCAACCAAATCTGAAAAGGCCACAGAGTTAGACTAATATTACTGGTCGCGTTTGTGATAATGCGTTCGGCGAATAAGCGGCTATGGCAGCAGGCGGAAGTGTAGGTGTAATACCAAGACTCTCATCAGGAAAATCTGAATCTACTTTCGCTTTCGTTACCGCCCAGAATTGTCCGATGATAGTTTAACGTTTGATCTTGTTATGACATGCAGTTTGTGCATTAGAAACAAATTGTCGCCATACAATTAAAATCAACATTCTCACTGTTGAAAAAGAACAAGTGTATACCGATTTCTAGATTGTTGGGCCCGTCATCGTGACCGCTCAGTGAACCTGTGCGCATCCGCATTGTGTGAGCACGGCATGAGTAAGGGACCGGCGGTTGTTGGGGTCATCAAAATTTTAATATATTGAAAATAAGAGTTTTGAAAAGTGACAATGAAGAAATGCCTTTTATTTCAACCCTCAGAAAGCTCTAATTGCTGGAGGAATAATTACTTGCGGTCCAACGAAACGCGCGAGCCGCTGGGAATCAGTTAAAGAACAAAAACACCAACAACAAAAAAAGGCCTCATTTCATAAACACTATTCACCTTAACTTGTGCACGCTCAAACACCCACCTTCCCTCCACATACATGTATACATAAACCCACGCCTACCTCAAAGTTACCATTTCAGGTAAATTCAGGGTCAGTTTCAGGTATTTCCCCCAAAATCAGGCAGTACATAGACAAAGAAGGGGGGGGGGGGAGATTATCATTGCCCCAGTACATATAGCGGGCGCGCGCGCACACACACACGCATGCATGCACAAACAAGTTTTAAAAATATAATTACTCAATGTAGCAAGCCCGTTCAATTGTTACTATATATACTGGGGCAACAACCATCTTTTTTCCCCCTTTTCTTTGTTTATGTAGGCCTACTACCTGATTTTGGGCCAAAATACCTGAAACTGACGCTGAATTTACCTGAAATGGGAACTTTGAAGTAGGCAGCCCAGCTCCTGAAAAGACAACTGTTGACATTTCCGTTTCAAATGAAGACAGTTCTTGCCGCTCATCCCGATTGAATTTTGCCCCTAATCTCAAGCATCCCGATTTTCCTGTTTTAGATCGCCAGTATCCTGATTTTTTGTGGTTGCGTCCAATTCTTAGAAAAAATTTTTTTTAAGTTCTGCAATCTCTTTTGCTTGGAAACACCGATTGGACTTTTTATCAGCAGGAACTTGCAACGCTATTTTCTAAAGCATCTATGCCGAATCTAGATCTAGTAGATGACTAACGCACGTTATTTAAACTAAAATCGACCTAGTTTCAAACGCTCATTCGCATCACATGACATGACCTCGTAGGTGTGGTGAGTAGCACGTGTGTCGGGGACCATCGGTTGTCGGGGTCAACAAAGTTCATTCACACCGCTCACGTTGGTCGAGGTGTTTTTCGGGACTTAACCAGTGTGGACGGCCGGGGGGGGGGAGGGGTGGGGGTATTGTTTTGACACTTGGGCCTAAAGTGCGTGCCGTGATAGAGGGGAAAGGAATAAGAAAAAAATTGAACAACCTTGGCGCGATCTTTTTTTCGATGTGATGGAAGTCAAACGTTAAAACGCGGGCACGGGCGTTTTGCGTGGATGATTAGTTACGTGTCAGCTATTTTCAAGACTATGAGTGTTTCAGCATCACTGCGACCTTCGCTCCCCCAGTCTATCCAACTTCTACTCGAGTACATGTAGCTGTGTTTCAGTTTTCCCTCTATTTAGAGGCCCAAACGTGAACTTATTCCTGCAAAAGTTTTGCCCTGCATACTTGCCTCTTAAAAGGGAACCAGGACCCCCCTCAGTACCAGGACCCCCCCCCTCAGTGCCCTTTATACTTTATGACTGGTTTGCCGTTGATCCCGATTTTTTTCACCAGATCCTGATTTTTAAACTCAGAAATCCTGATTTTTAGATTTCATAGAGTGGCAGGTCTGGATTACCTCCCGGGGCAGTGCCACTGACTGAAGTGTCTTAGGCCATTCCCAAAGGGGGGACATTTCTCGTTCAAGCATAGTAGAATTGTAAATGGACTGACTCATGTCACGCTCAGAACTGTGCCTAATCTACAACAGGGAACTGCTGCTTTTTCTTCCCTGATCCTTACTATTGTCATTTTCCTCTACTTCTTTTGCATGTTTGTCACTCTCTTGTGACCTGCTATTTTGGGGTGCCTTGATAGTCGAAGCAGACCTTGTGCTGTTGAAACTAGATAGGTGAGCAGTCTAAGTCTGATTCCCTGTAAAGACTTCTCTGTTGACACCCCACCCTTTGGCGCTCATATGACCGTATGCAGTTGCGAGCGCCGTAACACCTTCTACTATTTTTTTTTTTTTTAAGTACTATAATTACGGATTTTCTCTTGATAAACAAAAATTAAATATAACTGCAGAACTATCAGACACAGTTCCAGGCCCTGATTAAACACACAATGAAATCATCAAATATCTCCCTGACGAAACACTCCTTTTACTCCTTGACATTTACAATGAACGTTGGCATTCTCAAAAATATGTTGATTACTAAAACATATGGTGATGGATTGGCAGCCCTGCTTTTGTGGGTGGTTTTTTTGTGATGATATACTATGGGTATTATTGTAGGCCTATATTGATTTTTGAAGTTTCAACATTGAACTGCCCACCTTGCTATTTCACAAACTCAATCCTCTTCTCAAGGGTGGCTGTACAAAATTGACTGTACACCACTGTTCACTTATAAATGCCACATAATTCAAAATATTTACTACATCACATGACCTATTGCCAGGAAATAAACCTTCTCTTGGCGCACTGTTCAAGAAACCCTCAGGAAGTTGGGAGTGTGATACTTGCATGGTGCAAAATTCTACTGGGGCTCTTCGTTGTGTTGCCTGTGATTCTCCGAAGCCAGGACTGCAGTCAGCTGGTGTTGGTATGTTGTTCCTTCTCTGTCATGAGTGCACATGTGCAAGTTTTATTTGTTCCTATTTTTGGTTGTCTGAATACGAGACAATTACAAAATTGTGGATGGGGGCCTTTGGGATTATTCATTCTAGTTCAAGACTCGCAGGATTTATAGATCAGTGGTGACGTGCTGATCGTTTAGTTTGATCTGTTTGTTTTGTACATTTTAGCTTGCCTAGACTCTATACTCTATATGATGTGTATTTGGAGACCTACTGACATTTTCATGTGGAAACATTTCTAAGGAACCTTTGATAAAGTTTGGCTGATTAAGCTGAAATTCAGTAAAAGAGCTTGGCGTTAAAGCTGTGTGATATGTGTGTGTGTGGAAAATGAGTTGTCAGTGCCTTCTTTCTCCAAAGCAATATCACAAGATGAAGCCATGATACTTAAATGCCCCCATACTGTGCTTGTGGCTAAAACTCTGTGGAGAAGAATATACAAAATGGCAAATTGGGGGGCATTGCTATCCTGTTGCTCTATGGTACTTCAGTTTTAACGTGAAGCAATGGCTATGCCATGTATGTTAAACTGTCCACTAACAATGAGCTAGGTTCCCAGAACAATAGTGGTTTCAGATGTCCCAGAACAATAGTGGTTTCAGATGTCCCAGAACAATAGTGGTTTCAGATGTCCCAGAACAATAGTGGTTTCAGATGTCCCAGAACAATAGTGGTTTCAGATGTCCCAGAACAATAGTGGTTTCAGATGTCTTTTCTTAGTATTTGTTGACCTTTTCGGGTGTTTGCTTGGTTTCCCTTTATGTTTTTTTTTTTTTTGCTGGAGTTTTTGTTTTCTGTATTACAAGTGTATTCGTAGCTGCTGTACGCTTCCGTCCACGGAGCTGCGACAATAGTCGTAGCAAAATACCAGTCAATAAAATTGAGTACGAACCACTAATCCAGGTTTCTATTGAAAATAATAAATCGGTTGTAGCTTGTAAAAACTTGCTAGCTTGTTTCGATCCAGTTTTTGGCCAAGTACAAGTTAGTTTTGTTGTTTTGTCACCGCAAATCATTGCAAGAAAGCGAGCACTGAAATCTTCATTGACAAGAAGAAGAGAAAAAAAAACAGCCGCAAAAACCAACAGCACCACCACTATTTTTTTAAACCATGTTTTTAGTTTTGTTATAGGCATAAGCAGCAAAGAAAATGAAAGTAGACGTAAATCTAGAAAAACAAGGCGATCAGATTGATTTTAGTGCCTTGAAAACTTCGAAGATAAACTAGATCTAGACCATAGATTTACTAAAAGTTGCTATGGCTAAATCCGAGGGCCGATGAGTCACAGATGGATGAAGAATATATTGTTTTCTCTGCTCTTTCCTTCATCTTTCATTCTAATAATATTAAAGGTTCATTTAAAGTAAAATCAAAGCGAAATTTCCTATTGATACATTAAATAGTTTCGGCACTATACGTGTGTAAGGTTAGTGTGTCGAGTTCAGACAGGACCCCCCCCCCCTGGCTCGCGGCAAGCCAGGTGGACACAAGTGCACTGCCGCAGCAAGGCAGGGTGAATTGGGTTCAATGGACATAAAAGCTGTTGAGCTGAAAAACAAAATTTAGGGGGGTAAAATGTCAAACTGGCGGAAATATGCTGATGTCTTCGATTTCATTATTTTGACGAGCGCTTGATTTCACCATGATGCCTCACATATTTAGATGTTGTCCTTGTCAAATGAAACGGGTCCCTGGGAGAAGTGGTTGTTATCTAATTATGTTTTTATTCTTTGTTACAGTTTATTTGTCACTGTTTTCATGAGAATGCAATATATTTTGATACGAGTTGTGCACAGTTTTGTAGTTTAAATGCTACCCACATCTGCTGACATAATTTCTTCTATTCTGTTCTTTTAAAAATTTTTTTTTTTAAAGGATTATAAGTTTTTTTCTGTACCATGTTAGATTTTAATATTATATTGCAATATTTCCGTTCACAGCCTGTTTCAAATGATGCATACTTCTTAAGGCTGAGCAACATGTGCTGCTACCTCTAAGGAACCTTTGATGAACCTATTGCTGGGCTCGGTCCCTTGGTTTTAAGATTTGACATCTCTTACATACACAGGGCTGCCTAAATTTACTGATTTTTCCAGTAGTTACCAATTTTGGGCCTGTTCTACCGCCATACTGATAAAGATGTCAAAACTACTAGATTTGCGATGGGGGCTGAAAGAAGAAGAAAAAGAAACATTCTGCAGTGCTTCCAATCTTCCTTGTTTTTGCGGAAATGCGTACATTCCGAAAGTTCCGTACATGCTGCATCATATCAACTCCATGAGAGACCATTCCGTAGCAAAGGATCAGCACTTTCAGATATTTACGGCAACTCTCGGCAATAAGTTGTATTAGAAACTGCCAGATTGCGCATTTCGTACACTCTGCCATTGTCTATCTGTGCCATTCAGTCGGCAATAGTTTTTCACGTGCATATCGGCTAAAATCTGTCTACTCACGATACTTTTACTTTACTTTTCCGATCTAGCGGCCACTTTGGTTCTAGCCCTTCGGTCTGACCCTCTACTCACGATAGATAATCTTTCTCTTTCCTTTCATTCATTCATTCATTCTTTCTATCTTCCGGTTTTTGCTGTGGCTGGAAAATCTGTGCATTTAATTCATATTAACTCGCTCAAAAAAGTCAAGGAACAAAAATTCAAAGAAAGTTAACTGAAGAACAATTCCACTGGAATTTTTCAAAAAAGGTGCTTTCGACTCTCTAGATTAAGCGTGTATGATTTAAGATTTCAACGAGAAATTCATGTAAAATGTGTTTAAGTCACACTGGTAGGACTTCTAAAGTCTGAACAGCCATAGTTCTTCATCTTCATGAACATTGTCAATTGGGTGGGACTTCTAAAGTCTGAACAGCCATAGTTCTTCATCTTCATGAACATTGTCAATTGAGTGTAGCCACTCTGTTTGACCAAACACTCGGCACAGCGTCGACGCATGGACAGGACATGCCTTCAGAGACAGTGCTTCCGCTCCGTATTTTACGGAAATCCGTACTTTCTGCCAGTTTACGTACTTGTTCCTCCATCATTATCAACTCCCTCCGTAAAAAGCTGCGATATTGTAGGACTACCGAAATTCCATAGCAAAAGATCCGTACTCGTCTTCGTTTTGTCTAGTACTAGTATAAGTTATGGATATTTACGGTAATTCTCTCGGCAATAAGTTAGTGTTATAGAAACCTGCGAGATTGCGCATTTCCTGCTATCGGCTATTATTCCGCTATGCCCCATGCATTCATTGCGGGTTGGTCGGCAGTACATTTTTACATGTGGATTGATCAAAATGTGGCGAGCCTTTTGTGCCAATTTCCTCCCTTCTATCATTCTCTCATTCTGTCTGTCTATCTTCGCATTGTTGCCTCGGCTGGAAAATCTGCGTGTTGATCAAGTAAATTGACTTGTGATCTTAGACAGAAAATTACTGTCAGAAAGAAACTTTTTTACAAATTTGTCTAGATCCAGAGAAATGATCAATACGAAGATTCTACGGCATGGGAACACGATAAGGGCCGCGATGAAAGAAAACCAACATAAAACTTGCTAAAATCAAGAATAATTTGAAGTGGTGTTCCGAGGTTGTGACATGCAACATTCAGACTTGAAATTTAAGGAAAATTAGGGTATACGCCGGGTAACTATTTTGAAGGTTCATATCTATTCATTATTCCCAGGTTTGCCTTCTATCAATGGTGCGATGACAAATTAATTGAATTATAGTAGCAATGGAATGAAAACTTGCTTTTAAAAATTGCCATCAATGAAAATATATTATGTAAATCTTGGTGAAGAAATCAAACAGGACAAAATGTTGGTGAAAAAATAAATGTGGTTTGTAGGCAATCTCTTCAAACAGGCTCCCAAATGCCATTTTCAACTCTCTAAAAGCAATCAGTTTCAGTTGCTTAAGGGGCTTCGCCCCCTGAACCCCCAGCAGAATTTTCCTTACTTTTCAGCTTCAGCTGGTGGAAGCACTGGGAGAACTTTTTGAAGTAGGTTCTGCCACTCCTCGACGAGGCAGCTCAAAGTTGTTGAAGGTTTTGTGCAGGATGGTGATTGTCCCTTATCCACCGGTCAATGTGATCCCAAATGTTCTCTCTTGGGTTCAAATCCGGACTGCAAGCTGGTCAGTCCATGCGGGAAGTCCCCCACGATGCGTGCGCGATGTGGCGCGGCGTTGTCGTCCTGCAGTACAGCCTGGGGTCCAATCTGCTACCGGAGAGGAAGCAGCAATGGGGCGCGGTCAAATTGCCCTGTACAGGGGGTCCTGTGGTGAGCTGAGAAGTCTCCCCTCACCAGAAGATCCTCCACCGAAGGGCGCCACCTGCTGGAAAACGGTCTCCTCAGGGCCTCCAGACTGGGGCTCGCCTGTTTAGATGCAGCAGGTTGAATCTGGATTCGTCCGAGAAGACTACCTGGTCCCACTGGAATTCGTCGCCTGTCACACGAAAGGGCGTATTCCAGATTTTGGCAGTTTTGAGTTGTTACTACTAGTAGATAGCGCTGCCTCAGATCTATGTTCACACGAAACGGCGTATCCCTAGCTTTAAAATAACAGTTCTAGCAGTAAAAAATCAAAAAGGGCGTACGCTGACACTCAGCGCCGCCGAACCAGACGAAACGGCGTACACAGGCTTACGCCTTTTCATGTGCAAAAAATTTATACAAAGTTTTATCAATTCTGTTCGCACGAAAGGACGTATACCTTGGATAGGCCCCTTCGTGTGAGCGACATGAACACTTTTGTCTTTTTTTTTTCTGGCATAGGCCAGGGCCGTATAACGTAATATCATAGTAATACTAGATTCTAGGCCCTCCTCCAATGATGCAATAGGCCTGATACACAACACAGAGTACACGCACTGTGTGCAGCGAATCCTGCTTGTGCAAGAGTGAAAATGAGGCGGTCCTTATTGTTTTGTTAGCCTACAATTGGTGACTGT